TGGGAGAGCTGGCGCCATGTTCTGCTCGACGAATTGCGAGCCCGGTGTGCGCCGAGTTCGGGTCGCTTTTCCGATACATTTTTGATCCAAAATGGCGGTGTGGAATACGTGGTAATTCCTATCTCCTCTGTTGTTGTCGTTGTTGTCATCGGATGGCCGGGTACCCGTGTATCGCAAACAATCGATTATGTATCGAAAAAGTGACCCGGCGTCACACAGGAGTCTCGGAATTCGGGACATGGAAAATGCTTAAGAGTGGCGCCAGCTCTCCCACTTACATTACGACTCTATGTACTCTATGCCCAAAAGTTGGCCAAATGTAAACAATGATTTAAGGTTAGGTTGTGGAGGTTACGTCCGTAAGAAACCTTCTTGCCTAAAACATACGAGCCGCATGAAGAGACGAAAAAAATTCATCTTCATGCAAGTACTTAGTGCCTGGTGTTTTTCACCCTTCCATGCCGATTTATAGGATGGATGCCTTCATTCTGCCGTGCTTAGGAAACACGCCGTATCAACATTCGAGAGTTGCCAAATTTCTTCCGATGAAATGTTAATTTTAAAAGAATGTCATGCATGTATTCCCTCGAAATTTTCAGATACTTCAGATTAAACTGCGAACGATATTTTCCGAAAATGTGGAATAAAAAACGCATAACTTTTCCAATAAATTCGTATTCGATCAAAGGAAACTCGGCAACATCTGAAGGCTCATACGGCGTTCTTTCTTACCACTGCAGGATTGCTCTCCGCACTTTTGGCACCTCGCGGATGCAGTTCCAAGCCGCGATTGAAATAGGCGCAACAACCTCATCTATTGTCTCCGCCCTCGCCTTGGGCGGAGGTCTTAATGATGAATTAACAAACTTAAAATTAACGCCTGACAGTCGGCGAGTAGTCAGTCATGCATGTATTTCCTCGAAATTTTCAGATACTTCAGATTAAACTGCGAACAATATTTTCCGAAAATTTGGAATAAAAAACGCATAACTTTTCCAATAAATTCGTATTCGATCAAAGGAAACTCGGCAACGTCTAGAGGCTCATACGTCGTTCTTTCTTACCACGGCAGTATCGCTCTCCGCACTTTCGGCACCTCGCGGCTGCAGTTCCAAGGCCGCGATTGAAACAGGTGCAACAACCACATCTATTGTCTCCGCCCTCGCCTTGGGCGGAGGTCTTAATGATGAATTAACAAACTTAAAATTAACGCCTGACAGTCGGCGAGAAGAAGTTCGGCAGGAAAGAACCCGGTCGTGAAGTTACGGACCGGGACTCGGGAAAACAAACTGCGGAGGACGATAACGGTTAGTGTGTTGGCGATAATTTGAGGGATGTGCGGGGGTTTGATTCGAGCGAAGCTATTAATTTGGGAGACGCAGCGACGGTGCCGCCGGCGTGACGGGCCGCGGAAGTTGGAGACTCATCTCGGGTGTCATATCTGGAGAGGCTGAGCGGAGTAATTGTGAGCGAAAGAATCTGCCAAGAAGGAGTGCGCGGCAATAATACCGTGATTAGGTGGCAATAGTATCGGCGCGGGTGTAGCGCCAGCCGAGGCCCGGGCAGGAGTCGAAGTGACAGCTCCCCACCGATAAAGGCGCACCACTGACACTATCTCCTTATTAAAAGTTGGCAATGAGTCTCATTTTTGTTCAACTTGTGACAAAGCCACGGCGTTATCGGCCCCGCCCCCCGCCCCCGCCCCGGGCGAGCCCCGCGCCCCCCAGCCCCGTCGCCGCCGAGTGACAAGCGGCAGGAAATGAAGAGGTTCTCCTGTCACTTGTTCGCCGATCGTCTTCGATAACTGCAGCTTTATTTGCTTAAATACATTTCTTCTCTCGGGCTTTTTAGCAACTAAAGTCTAGCTCCTGTCCGTATTTTTCTCCACTCTCCGCGCGTTATTTGCGAGTCTCTCTATCTCCGTTCCGCCTCCTCTGGCAGCGCTAACCATACGCCTCATCGTCCTCTCTCTCCGCCCGCTTTTTCTGCCGGCTTTTAACTCGGCGAGCTTTACTCGGCGACATTAAATTCAATGAAACCGTTTCGATAATTCCATTTCCTCTTAAATGCTCGCCTCTTATCACAATTCGGTTCCTTCTCGTTTTCCCTCGCACTACATATTTATTTTTATTTATCAAAAGGCGTGCTGCACCCGCGTCCTCTTAAATAAACTCATTTCCTAATGATCCTCGCTCATTTGAGGTCTCTCTCCCTCTCGCACCCCCCTGTCGTCCGCTCATGTCAGACTCATCCTCGCAGGCAATGAAGATCAGGCCCGGTTCCAGCAAATTGATTTTGCACTCTCGCGGAAGTCTCACATAAATGATCGCCTATCGAAAATTTTTCTCACCCTCCTCTCCGCAGCATGGACGCCTTCGTTCGAAAATCACCATTTAATCGCAGACCTAAGGTGTTTTTTTATGAGCTAACTAAAATAGGAAGATCGCGTGTAACCATATCAGTTCATTCCTTCCATGAGCTGTTACGAGCTTCTAAATGTAGCGAGCAGTTCGATGGTGAACGTGCAAAAGTCTACGTCCTTCGAGGCTTTTCAAACTAACTTTCCATCATAGTTGGACAAATGAGAAGCACTATAATGTCGATGAGAATGCACAGCTCTCTCTCTCTCTCTCTTTGGTAGTTAAAGTTAAAGAGAAAAAAATTTCGGAAGTTGCATCAAAAAGACAGCTTCAGAATCATTTTTTTTTATTTTTCTTGTGGTGAATATAAAAAACTTGCCGGATAAATAGAATGTCCTGGTTGTTTTTCAAGATAAAGTGCTTAATTTTGGCAGCGAACCATTATGTTGGGGCAATTCTTGCTAAACGTAATTATTTCTTTTTTTAGAGAGAATCCTGTTGTGGTTTTCAGATTTTCATAACAAAAGATTCGTCTCCGACGAGGATTAAAATCAATTTGTTCGATCATTTGTTACGTAATAATTACCATAGAATTACTTAATCATTCATAATTATATTATTTACAGAGGATGTAATGAAATACTAGTACCTCAAGTTACGTTTTATTCCATTATGTCGCAATAAAATTCCGCAATTCCTGGATGCAACTATTCGAACTCTTAGGATGTCCGTGTTGCCTATGCAAATTAGTGAAGGCGTTTTGATACCTCGGGTTTTCAACAAACGCATGTACTTGCATGAAGATGCATTTTCTTCGTCTGCTCATGTGGCTTGTATGTTTTAGGAGGTTCCTTATGGGCCTTGCCTCCACAACCTAACCTTGACCGATCGTTTATATTGGGCCAACTTTAGGGGCTCCATGATAGCCTAAAACCCGCCGGCCAATCAGAGAGCAGCACACTTGGATTGCATTTTGCAAAAAAGGAACCACGAGCATTGCATTGTTGCTAAGATTGTGCAACTTCTTTTGTCTTGGAGGAAAAACCTGATTATCTATTAATAGTTTCTATTTTATTCGCTAAAAACTGTAAATTTAAAACATAAATTACCATCTAAATTTCATACTTTTACACGATACCCGTAATTGTATCGCAAAGGATGAAGTTGCACAATTTTAGCATCATTGCAATCCTCCTGGTTCCTTTTTGCAAAATGCATTCCTTCTCTTCTGTAGTGAAAGGATTGAGATGGCAGGTCAAGGAGCGTGTAGTGAAGGAAGTTTTTTTTACGGAAAAACTTAATTGGTCGCTGGATGGGGCGCGGCTGTTTCCTTTATGCACAATGTCGTAGCACGGCGATCGGATGACGGGTCGGATAGTTCACCGACAACACAATATGATTATTCAGTTGTGGTCAGTGAGCATCCACTCGGACACCCTTTCGGACTTATCGCGGGGACTTCCTCCGTTCACCGAAATTCAATGGCACCGAGTCGGGCACTTAACACTTTCTCGTTGTTTTTTTCCATTTTTTTCATTTAATTTCCGCTCGTCTTTCAGAGCGCCGTGCCGCCAATTTATCATTTCCCGCCGCGGCTCGGTAATCTGCAAATATCCCAACCGCGCCGCGTTGCAACAGCAGATATCAAAGCTTTTAGTTCCAATGTTAAAATCATTTAAATTATGACGATTTTGCAACGGTTTTTAAGTTGCGGCTGAAAGACTGGACGCGGATCGATTCGTTGTGGTAGTTAGTTATAACAGTAGTCCAGTCATAATTATTGCTGGATGAATGAATGGCAAAGTTAAGGTCATAGGTTTTCGAAGCGAGCTCGGCTCTATTGGTCGTCTCCGAGACGAAAGGACGTAATTGAATCAGTGAGAACGAAAACACACCAACTCGGAAAAATGAAAATAATCAAGACATACACAAAACTGCACAGTGGATGAAGAATTTAGTCCAAGAAAAAGATTTTTGGTGCCGAAAGACAAGTACTACAGGACATTTTAAAGGTCCAAGATGGAACAGATGCGCTAACTTCAAATGACCTTTATAAAAACTGACTGTCTTCAATGAAAATGTAACATGTTCGAGCTATCGAGTTGGTGTGTTTTCGTTCTCACTGATTCAATTGCACTATGCACTATGTGCTATGCACTGTGCACTATGCAAATGAGAAAAAGTGAATCTTGGTCAGGATGCTATCTGCTTTTGTGGAAAAAAACTCTCAGCGGAAATTTTTTACAGATTTTCTTTGGATTTACTCTATGGAATGGATGTACAATGTACATGGTACATGTTCATGCGTGATCATGTTGGACCTGATTGTGATGGGAAATTGCCGCTAGTGAAATACTCCCTCCGACCCGTGAGATTTCGTTATGAGCAGCTACCATTGTAATCGGTCATTCAGTTGGAGAGAAGATTTTGGTTCCGGTACAGTCTAGTTAATGATAATTTACATCGTAATGAAAATCCAAAAATGTATTTGTATTCATTCTATTCTATCATGTTTTTTACACTCAGGGACTATTTCTTGCGGCTCATTTCAATATCATTACAATTTGAACCCTGAATAACGAACTCGTGACTTAAAATAAAAGAGTCATAAACTTATGATTTTTTCATCCTATGTTTCAGGAAAATCCTTACCAGTTCATTGTGTGGTTGAAATAATCAGCTCTCTTCAGTCATGGAAAACAGAAGGACAAGTGGAGACCGATAGTTATGTCATCATCCCCGCCAATACGGTTTTCTGTGATTTAGTCCAAGTGGCACTGCATAGGTTAGGTTACTCTAGGGAAAACGCAGCTGCAGCAAAAGGTAAATTAAACAACTTTACTTTATGAAAGCTCATAATTATAGTGAAAAACAGTAATTTTAGATATGGTCGAAATCCAGGCGCGTCAACTGCAAAGAATAATGGTACACCTTTGATGAATATTATTGCGCATCACAACTTAAAAGTTTTTAGGTAGCTAATAATTGTAAAGTCTACGTATCATCCTCCTACCATGCCTCAATGTTGCCAAAGAAATAAAAATAAAATTGATAGTTGGACGTGTACTTAATTTCTGACCGAAACCTTTTTTTAAATGCAGAAATCAACGATCTATAAAATACCTGACACTGGAGTTGAGCATACTCGCGCACCTATTATATTTTTAAATTTTTTTCACATCAAAAATGGACATATTTCTGCCAAACGAAGCTATGTGCATTAAGACATGAGCCCCGAGACCCATAAAGATATATGCATAACAGGGCTCACCTCATAATGCACATATTTCCGTTTGGCAGAAATACGTCCAAGTAAGTAAGTGACACTAGGAAAAAAATGAATACTTGTGGATATTAATCCCTTTCCGCACCGGACCAATCTAAATTTTCTCATCTCATCACTGATCGCATGTATTGTTCCACAGGTTCTGTCGTGATAAAAAATTGGAAACCGTTGAGTTTTGATAAAATATCGGACAACCCACAAGTTACTGTTGGCGATATTTTGGGCGAACTTACAACTGTAGCAACACTTAAAATACAGATTTTCCGGTAATAATTTGTTTATTCTCATATCTGTTTTTATATAGTCATTCGATACTTTATTTATTTATCGACGCGGTTTTAGCTTTTCACGAACAATGAGCGACATTGTACAGTAGACTCTGGATTATCCGGCTTCGTATTATCCAGACTCTGGATTATCCGGATCGATTTTGCAACCATGTAACTACGTACGCATTCCGATAAGGGAGCGGATCCGTGGAGAAGCGGTCGCAAGGCATATTGGCGCCTGCAAGGCTGAAGGAATACTTCACGCATTGCGCCAAACAGTGAGGTCGGCGTGGAACGCATTAGCGCCTACTAGATTGCATGAATACTTCTCGCATTACACCAAACGCAGTGCAGTCGGTTAGTTAGCCTAAATCGCACATTAGCGGCTACAAGATTGTATGAATACTTCACGCATAGCGCGCTTTAACCGTCGTATTATAAATTTATCGTTGTCGGCTACCATTCACAATCACCATTGAGTCGTTCAGTTTGGCGTTAACCTTTTAAATTCGTGTTGATATGTACATGATGTATACATAAGAAGAATACTGTGGTGTTGGTTGGTGCGGTGTTTGTGTTTACTATTATTATCCGGATTTCTTTTTCATCCGGATCGGGCCCGGCACCAATTAATCCGGATAATCCAGAGTCTACTGTAATGGTCTTTACTTTTTCAATAAAGTTTCAGTTGGCTCTTACTACTCGTTTTCTACCTGAGAAAAGCTGCTTTTTAAGGGAAATCTCAATAAACTTTCACTTTTCCCTGAATATTACTTGCCTAGGCTGCATGCTGAAACACATTTGTTATTAAATTTACGTAACTTAGAAATAATTAAAATGCACTCGATCATCATGAGCCAATCTCTTCAATGTGCTCCATAGTTTATTCTCAACGTTCCGAATATTCAGGATACATTGACTCACTTTTCTACCTCTGCCTCTTACAGATCTCGACCTGATGTCATCACCGAAATGAAAGATAAGCTTTTACGATTGCTGTTAATGCAATCGCACAATCATCTCATACTGTCTGGTTGTCCCCTTGATGAGGTGAGTCTCACATCTTTTAGATATTTCATGATGGTCTTAAATTATTTTGCATACAAAGTGATCCTGCATGCGCCGCCCCCTTTTTTTCGATTATACCTTTTGGCCCAAAACCTTAACCTGTAACCTTCATGTGACGTAAATTTAAGTGTATGTTTAGGATTGGCAAGAGCACTCTTTTAAGGAGTAATTTTTTCCTCATGAAAATATTATGAGAAGTTCTGAGTGATCTTGCATAGAGACGAATACAATTGAAAATGCATTTGCCCTTCTGGCATATTTGCGATCAATCAGAGGGGTGTTTTTGTTCCAAATATGTCCAAAGTAAGTGTATTGAAGTATCGGAAGTTAGTTGCTTTAACTGTAAAATTCTTACGATCGTTATCTTTAATTTGTAGCTAACTTTGTCACAGCTGGTACGAAGTCAGTGCAGCTCTTTGGCTTTGGGCGAGCCCTCCGAAGAAATCCGGCGCAAATTTGATGCATGGTGGTATATGCAAATACCCAAACCTCCAAAGATGCCAGTTTTTCATCAGTCACCACCGACCTTTGAGAAACCCGTCGATAAAACTCCAGATGATCGAGTTCATCCCGTTCTCCAGGTACATCATTGTGCGGATTAAAAATAACCTCTAAATAATTCTCTGGATATATTTTATTTTATCGTGTAAAAAAGCTAGACCTTACCTCATTATTACGTGCATTAGGTTGTACATAATTGCAGGGACAGAAATTCCAATCGAGGACCGATCTTGTGAACGATGTTCAAACTGCAAAAAATAAGTACTTAAAATGAAACGTTAATGTTCGATAACGAAAGCAATAGTACGTTGGAGCTTTGAAAATGAGAAGATTTTTTTAAATTATATCACTTATTTTTCATAGATACTGAACGCGTCTCGCAAATTTTATCGAAACAAACAATTTGACTTCATAAAGATTTTAAAGAGCGCAAAGTAAATTTTGAAGAAGCTAATGTAAGCTGCGTCTGATACTTCCATAGGACAATTAATCTGATTTACGAAAAGCCATAATACTTGCTGCATATTCGTTGCTTAGAAAGTGTTTTTTTTTAATAACATTCTAATATTGTTATGCGTTTCAGACGGTTGAAAGTCAATACCGGACGCAGAAAACTAGAATGCGGACAAGTTTCGATCCAGAATTAGAACTACCAAAGCTTCAGAGATGGTTCATTGAAAATCAGCATCCAAGTAGACAACAGGTAAAGTCAAATTTTTTGAATTGATCAATGTTCAGTGAAAGAATAGTTCCAACTTTTTTAGATGAACTTCAAATCAAACACCATTACCCGTTCATACTATTACCAGGACCTGTTGAAGTCTAGCATAAATAGATTTGTCTTGGGCTGATTATATTTAAATTTAAATTTTTAATAGAAATAGAAGCATCAAATATATTATGAAAATTTATTTAATCTTTTCCGTTCTATCACTTCATAAGTGAGCGATGTAAACAACAAATGAAATTAAATCTCTTGAGATTGTAAGATGGCGGAAAAAATTCCATTTTTACGCAGAACTTGATTTAAGTTTGGAATGGAGTTGTTTATTTGAAGATTGATAAAAGTTATAATGAACAATCAAGTGAATAATCGCGTAAATATGCGAGATTTCATTCATTGAATTCTAAATTTCTACAAAAATTTACGTGGAATATATGGATTTTCAAGTGATGAATGAGTCCTTCACACAATAACTTTGCATTACGAAGGAAACAATTTGTTATCTTCAATTGATTAAATTTTTTTCGCCACTCAAATTCTTTCAATTTTATAAGAAATTTTCTTGCTTCTGCAGATTCAACAATATGTGATGGAACTCAATAGCTTGGACTCAAGACGAGGTCGCAAACCTTTGGACATCAACAACGTCGTGTACTGGTTCAAGAATGCGCGAGCAGCTCAAAAAAGGGCAGAGGTCCGGAATCTATCCTCAGGTATGATTATCCAAATTTTCTAGTGATAAAGTAATGGTCACGGAAATGAGTCGTGTCTTTTTTCCAGTTCCATATTTTCTAGTTCCTTTCACAGATCGACCCTTCATTGAAAATACATACCAGAAATATTAATTTGCTCGGAGCTTTGGATGTTCTTAAAAATAATCCGAATTTGTGGGAAAAGGGATACCCGAATATTTACTGGATTATAAGACAGAGAACGTCATCTTCTACGGCATCTTGATTATCTGGACTCAATATTGTCGCTTCTGCACTCTACCCTGAGTCTTATCATCGTCAATATCGTTAATTTCTGTCTCACTCATAGAGCATTCATGAAAGGATAGAATACTCTGATCACATCCTATCACATTCATGGAAATAAATGAAATAAACCAGCAGAAAGAAGTAGAAGAAGAGGAAGAAGAAGAGGAAGGCAAAGACGAAGGTTAAATTGAACGATGGTACCTACTGGTTGAAACAGCTGCTTTTAATAGACTAAGGTGGGAAATGATGGACTAACTAAGGATCTCTCGTGGGTTGCTGTTAGTTAGTTTATTGCTCACCCTTTTTATCCATTGCAACCACCCGCTTCCACCAATGAAATGGCCAAGTTTTCCCTTCTTTTTCTTTGTCTTTCAATTTCAACGATTAAACTGCAGGGTTTTCAAGCGTTCTTACGATAGCCCGAGCCCCTTCTATCTTCTCGAGTGTCTCGCGCAATTTAAGGACCACCCCTGGTATAAAATGACCGCGTGAGTCATAAATTGGTGATCCAGTGTTCACACTCTACCACCCCCCCCCCATGGAAAGACCTGCGGGCTTATAGACAAAGCTGTAGACAAATTAGACGAGAGATTTGGAGGGATCTTATCGGTGGAAGCGGGTGGTTGCAATGGACAAAGAAGGTAGGTGATAGACTGACTAACCCCGGTCTGCGGGCTAATTGTCGACATCGGTAGACAAAGCTATAGACAAAGAAGAGGGATCCCATTACTGGAAGCAGATGGTTGCACTGGACAAATGAGTTAGGTAATAGACCAACTAACGGCAACCCACGAGAAATCCTACAGTTATAATCCATCATTTTCTCCCTCAGACTGTAGGAACCACCCATTTCAACCAATAGGATTGCTCCATACTCCCTGTGTTTCCTTTGTCTATCGCTTTGTCTATGAAATTCAATAATGAGTCCACTGCACGGAGAAAAAAACCTCGTGCGTGGGACCTGAAGTTTAGGTCATATGGATCTCTGAAGTTTGCGGATTGAGCATCTTTTGGATCACACATCTGAAACTTCAGTTATTACATCTGAAGTACTTCAGTTGTGAGAACCGAAGTTGTTCGGATGTGAAAACCGAGGTACTTCAGATGTAAGAACTGAAGTTTCAGATGTGTGATCCAAACCTCAGCAGCTGGATTAAAGTGTTCAAATGCTCAATCCGAAAACTTCAGAGATCCCCATAAGACCTAAACTCCAGGTCCCACGCACCAATTTTTTTTTGCTCCGTGTGGAAAGACGTGATTCTGCGAGGTGCTTATGTGAGCGATTGCTTTGTTTGTCCGTTCCAGGTCTGCATTGTCACTTCCCAATAAACGGGTACCATAGCAACAGTCAGAGCCCGAGCGACACGGGGATGATGAGCAAGGCGGCGACGAGTCCAGATAGTCGGGATGACGACGAGGAGAGCCGCCTGTCGTCGCAGTCGGCGCCCCTCTCGCTCACCGTCAAGCAGGAGCGCCAGGAGCGGCAGGAGAGGCAGGACAGGAGCCAGAGCCAGCGCATCCACGCCTCCTCCCCCCACGAATCCGCGCGATCCCGCTCGCGATCCCGCTCCCGCTCTCCGGTAAGTGAAGCCTATTGAACACCAACCCCCGCCCCCTCTCGCACACTCCGCCAACTCAACCTAGGTTCTGGAATTGAGCACCATGAGCAAGGTGTAAAGATTGAGTGGAAGCGCCGCGGTGGATCGAGACATAGGGATCCTCTACCCCCTATCCCCCCTCGAACACCCCGCGAACGGAACTGCGGGCTGATTGTTGACATTGATAGACAAAGCTATAGACAAAGAATACAAAAATAATATGGAGGGGCCCTTTTGGTGAAAGCGGGTGTTTGCAATGGACAAAAACCGGCCCTCTGTGGTGTAGTGGTTGTAGCGCTAGCTCTATGATCGGGAGGTCCGAGGTTTGATTCCCGGACAGGCGACCCGAGTTTGATGGTCTCAAACAATGGTTGCCTGGGACTGGTTGTTCAGTAGGGACGGGGGCCGGGACTAAAAAGCGCGGGATTAGCCCTTGTGGGCTACTTAAAGTGGTAAAAAAAAAAAAAAAAAAGATATAAAGGCTACTCACGAGAGGCCCTTTAGTTAGCCCCTTATTTACCCGCTAGTCTATAGGAACTATCCAAATTAACCGATAGGATCGCTTTATACTCATTATGTCCTCTTTGTCTATTGTATTGTCTATCAATTTAATAAATCTGCCCGCTGAGTGTCCAGAATTGAACATCATTGGCAAAGTGTCAAGATTGGTCCTGGAAGCACCTTTGAGTAGATTGAAACATAGGAAATCCCGGTGATCTAGCGCATTTGGAGAAAATACCCATGAAGCAGCTTCAGTTGAAATGCATCTTGCATTAAGGAAATATAAGAAACTTAGGTATAAAAAATATTTAGCTGTACACACGTCGCCATACACACTTGCAGACAACAAACTTTTGTTTCGAGTCAACATTTATTCTTATTTTTTATTGTATTGAATTATATATCATAAAGTGGAGAATGTTTTTTTTTTAGTTTTCGATCGTAGTCTTTACAATTTGCCAAAATTCTTTGCATGGAACTCTTGTATGCGTGATGGATTCGCGAATTAAGTACTTTTTTTACGTACAATTTTGCGAGCAACACGATGGTGCCCCTGGTTTTCTCTGAAATCAACTCCAAAGCTCAAAAAAGGCTCTCAAAGTTGAGGCCGTATCGGAGGGGATATCCCACGCTACCTAGAGAGTCCACCTCTATATCAAGACAAACTCTCTTTGCGAAGGTAGGGAGCAAATACGTATAGGGTTTCTACTTTTTCTGGGGACCCCAAAAATGAAAACACGGCAACCCTTAAATGCATTTTCTCAACATCTTTGCATAGATTGATATCGAGGTGGATATAGAGCGCGGCCACAATTTTGAGAGCTTTTTTCAAGCGATTTCACGCGGAATTTTACGTATGACAAAGTACATAATTTAAATCGCAAATTCCCTACACATGCGAGAGCTCCATGGAGCGTTCCTCTCAAAATCTGACTTGTGTTCTTCCTTCTTTCTAGCTGAAAGCAGGAGACATATCGAAAACTTCACCTTTAACGAACTTGCGGGGCGTATATTTTCCTCTTGTGTAAGCACTATTTTCGGCAGCTAGTGTCGCAGGCCTCAATCTGGAAAGGATATTTTCTCGACCTGTAGAGATAACAGACAGCATGTATCATTTCATGTTTTTCCGTAGCTTATAAAGTGGCTTTAACGCTATTTTCTTTCTTTCATCGTCCCTCCATTTTTTTCTTTTCTTTTTTTTGTAAATGGTGTATTGTCTCGTCTGCCTATTGACTAATGTCAAATATAACTATGAACACATTGAAGTCTAAAAGTTGTATAGTTCAAGAATGTCTCAGTCATGCTGAGTGGAATAGGAGCAAGTTAGTTCTTATGCTGGCTTTAGTGAATAAATATGGCTTAAAAGCCATAATAGCAAATGAATTTTCAGAAAACTGATGGAAACATCAGAAAAATTACTTATTTTTTCTTAATTAGACTTACAATTCATCATCGGGGGATGTATCATACGTCACCGAGGTGTAAATGTCAGAATTTATCTCCTGAGATTTTTTCTGTCCACCTTTTTTACCCTACTTCTTCGTTCTTAATTCTTAATTAATACTACTGTGAACCTGCATAAGACATTCTTACAACTCACAATAAAAAATAAACTATTATAAGTGTCATTCACGTCAAATACGTATCTAACATTCCCAATCATTATTACCTATTGTCAGTTTATGATCCAGAATTCCAAAAATTATCAAGAGACGAAAATTGTACACTGAGTTAGAGAAAATAATGTAATTAAATATAAAATTATCCAGAAATTTGTATCTCAACAATTTGACCCTTCATAATCATACACAGCCGACCTCGATTCGAAATAGGCAACAAAATAAGACTGATTAAGATAGATACTAGAACTGATGAAGCGATCACGTAGCTGACGAGAAAAATAATATCCAGCTACTCAAACGTTCCTATGAAAGCAGCCGTATTATTATACATTCCTTTACATTCTTAATGTGCTTTACTTACTTTCCCCTGGTCGTCAAACTGAAATAGGTAGCTTTAATGTAAAATTTGATTCCATAAAGTAAATCCTAACTAGGTATAACATTTCTAATTGTTCAGCAGGCATTCAATTATTGTAAAGGCAAAATTTGTCTAGCGTTAGTCACTGACTTTCTACAACTGAATAAATGTTCTTCGTTCACAAGAAAAAATTATGGCGGACTCATTTCTTCGTTTTTTCCTTAATAGTCTCTTTTTTGGTCTCCAATGTCACAAAGTCAGACAGTTGTGCATTTGGTCAGGAAGACAAAAAAATTATAGTCACTTCAATTAGTCACTTATTTAATGTAATTATACATGTTATAACTTTCTTAGAATTAATGTTGTGATGAGATTCCCAACAGTATATGTACAGTATCGTAAAACTACAAATAAAACAATTGAAAAAAAATATTTAAAAACGTTAAAATGCTGTAAATACATTTACGTCTATATTTATCGTATTTTTGTCTTAAAAGCACCAAATATAGCTGGATTTAAGTATGGAATATTCGCTGTTGTCTTGGCTAGCTGTGTCTATACTTGGGCACGTAGGATATGCTTACTTACAGTGGCGTGGCGTGAAGGATCGATTATCGACATTTATCCATTCGAAGCTGTAGTAAAGAATCACATGTCGTTGCGAACACCTTGATAATCGATCCTTTTCCATAGATTTAAATGGCAGATCAATCGATATATGGCAAAGCACGCCACGACACTGCTTACTTACCTTTAAGTTTTTTATTTATTGATCTATTTATTGTTCGATATCTTATTTATTTTTTGTATATTCTGCATGGCTTTTGATGACGAACAGGAACAGGTATTGGTGTAGGTGCTAGCCGAGTGTTCAGCTAATTTTCATCCAGGATCTCATCTCTGTTATTTCGTGTTAACTGTATGTTGTTCTATGTTCCTGTAATAAAAAATATTTTTATTACTTCATTTTGTATCATAATGTTATTTTGTTGTTCCATTTCTTTGTTAGAATAAATAAACGAAGCTGTGTTAAAATCTTGAATGCAAACCTCGTGTCGTCTCATACTTTTTGCACAAATCTGTACCCTATTCTCGTCACCTCTCCGACAACTTCTTTTTGAGGTTCATTCTATAGCTCAGCTATGCTGGACCACTGGTTTAGCACATAAGGCGAATTTTCTCGAGTGGATCTGGTCGACTTTTTCATCCAGATATCGGCAAGGTTGCAAATCAAAGGAGAAAAACGCTCTGATGCTGTCAAGAACTAAACTCAGCTGCTTGATGAATTTTAGCCAACGCTTGCATCCATCCTTTTTTCAACTCCCCTCGGGAGGTTTCACCGCAATCACACGCTGAATGTGGGAGCTGAATGTGGCTTGAATGTGGAAGTCATCGGCCCGATGCCTGAATTTTGCGCGTCTCAGCAACGATTCTCAGCAACCATCGGACCAATTTTGAATTTGTCTGAACTATTCGAGTAGATTTGATACATATCTGGATGAAAATAACTCGAATTTGCTAAATTTCAGCCGTTGGGCGATGACTATTGACTTCCACATTCAGCTGCTAAATTCAGCGTCTGATTGCGGCATTTGTCGAGAATTTTGGTTGTAGTCGTCATTACAGCCAGCATAAAAACCAAATGTGATTGTACTGTCGTCCGGAGGAAATTTCGGTCTGTTTTAACAAAAGTTGGCAGTAAGTTAAAAACTTCGACCAAATCCACTCGCGAAAAGTTGCCTATAGAGGATGGAAAAATTTTAAAATCCCTCCAGCGATTAGTTATCAATCGGTGGATCAGGATGGTCTGCTCCCTCCACCGAAATTCATAATTGAACGGATTTAACTGGACACAGCCTCACTACATCAGACATCGCCTAATTTCCGCTGATTTTTTATTTTTTAAACAAAAAACTAAAACTCATACCAACTTAACATTTTGTGAGTGTATTCCTCATAAGTCAGAGTAAATTCACAGAAATTATACCTACGGCATTCAGGCACTCCAGTTTTCTGTTAAAAAATGAAACATGGGAGAAAATTAGGAGATGTGAAATGAAATAAGTCGGATTCCACTTTAATGCGCCCGATTCATTGTACATGTTTCGAAAGATAATAGTGAAGACCGAAGAACCTTAACTACATTTTCACCAAATTACTTAAACTTTCCCGATAGGTATGTCTTTCCACGTTAGAATAAACTTCGAACAAAACAATATGCCTAGGTACTCAAAAGCCTCAATGCAAGGGGAGATTTTAGAGAGCAGTGCCACTTTACTTCAGAACTTGTCGCTGGATAAAATCAATCACTCGAAAATCTATTTTTCTTAACTAACAAAAACTGTAATCAAACATTACTAAATTAATAAAATGATCAATATTGTGAAGCATCTAAGCCCGTGACTTCAGTTACAAGCTTCTTCCTAGTGTTTTTACGCTCGTAAAGATGGATACTGTGACCATAATATATTCGCGGGCCAGGAATCTTTCGCTAACTGTTGAATTGAAATCAGATCGTCACCCTCATGGCATAAGGGTGTAACTAAATGTTGCAATGAGCCCTGTCGTCCATACAACTCCTAGCTTTTTCGGGCTCATCTCAATGTGAAGTTACGCCCTTTTGTCGGCTGAGCGACAAGATGTGCCTAACTTCGACGAAATCTGAAGATTTCTAAAATTTCATGTGAACATGTGTGCATAAATTAAGGAGGACTCATCTTCATTAAGTTGTGTAAAACGCTTAATCACAATATTTGGCTCAATTTTTTTAGAAAGCGGTATGCATTCAAATATGCTTAAAATCGTTTAAACATATCTCTCGTAGGAACTAAAGCAAGTCTCAAAGTATGTATCGTGAGTTACATTCATTTTTTTACTGGGAAATACATCTTATAAAAGCTCCTTCTGGGCGCTATTTTATTTTTTTGTCATTTTCTTATCATACTAAATGCATTACCAAGATGGATGAGGAAAAAACAAATAAACAGGCGCAGAGAACCGAAGGATGATTCTTGGAGGCACAGTAACTAGGAGGCGAGAGAAACAAAGAAAAAGTACCGGTAGCTTTCAAATTGTAATGCTGCTATAATCTTCATTGAGTCGCCCACCGTGTTTCTGCGAAAAACAGCTCCCAATCACAATCCCTTCTGTAAGACCAGAAATCGTTTTGCCGGGGCACTAATGATTCTAACGCTGTTAACTGATTCAGAAATGAGACTTTTAGTTTTTGGCCAGGGGTCCCGAGACGAGAAATTATTATTTTTCAAGCGATTGAGCTGCATTCATTTTCTCGATCTACTTCGCGCTAAATTGTATGGCTTAATTCACTTCACTTCTCATACTGAGCGCCCCTGAAGAATTCCACGGAAGGCTGAAGATTATATCTGCGCGCATTAGAGGAACCAAGGACTGGAAGATATTTTTAATTGGAAAAATCGGATTTACTTCATTATCCTTACACGCTATCTGTTCCTTGAACCATCGTCATTTGAGTCTACGCAATGATCACCGTCATAAGGATTCTTAAAATTTTCCATCTAGATGGTTTTCATTAACTTTCTTTTCGGCTCTGTCTGTTTCGTCTCAGCCCGCCTCCTCCTCTCTTCCGTTGCTCCTCGAGTTTCCTCCCGCTCCTCTGTACCACCATCATTCCTCCGGGTGTTTTAGGGATTTCACAGCGACGCAGACTGTCGTGCTGAGGAGCAACGCCGTATGAACCTTCAGCCGTTGACAAATTCCCTTTGACAAAACACAACTATTCGGGAAAATCCGCACGTGTTTTTCCATCGGTTTTTTAATAGATTTTTGTTCGCACTTTCATCTGAAACATCCGAAAATTCCAAAGAAAAATATTGGTAACTTTATTTTAAAAAACTTTTTTCTGACGAGAAATTTAGCAACATTCAAATGCTCTTATTAAGTTTTTCCTTAGCACAGCAGCACGGGCCTTGGTGGTTGAATTTCGCTTTCTTCTCTACCTCAGCGGACTATCATACCGAATTCATACCCCCCTCCCACCCACCACTTTTTACGCAGTAATTTTTATGCGAGCTGCAGGGATAGCAATACAAATTTTAAAAAAATCGAATCGAATCCTGGGTTATTACAACCCTTACTATGGCATTTTTTTAACAAAACTACCATACTCGAGTTTTTGAGCAAAGGAGAAGAGGCGCCCACAGATTCTGCATCATTCCCCGTGAACACGAACAGCAATTTTTCAGAAAGAAGGTAATTTTCCTCTTATTCCAAGGATTTTGCACCTTTTCACCAACACAATATTATTGATCTTTGACCACATCTCCCCTTCACAAGTTGCAGGGCAAAAACAGAAGCTGATCAAGAACTAAGAATTTTTATCCAATGGCGTAATCGTGTACTTTTGGAAATTACTTAAGGTTTTGAACCGATTTACTTTTTTAACTCACTGTGTAGGAAATTAAATTTCGAAATATTTCGGTGGTATGGCTCTCCTCCTTTTTATAGATGTACCATGCACGCGATATGTGCGATTAAAATTATATCCAATGACGTAAAATGTGAAGATGACAATGGCCGTATTTACCTACTTGCCGCCTATGGGCCGCCTGCATTTTGCCGCCCCCTTCTCATTCATTTTGAAACATCAATGAAAACCATCAAGTGAACGTGCCGGAGGGAGAAGGGTGCATAAGACGCGTTCACACGTGTTGGACACATTTTTTGCGTAAGCCCTGTCAACACTACTAGCAAAAGTTCACGGAACTTCGCGCGAAAGTTCAGTTCTGTAAACCTATCTCTGTGGGGACAAGGCCTTTCATTTGTAAGAAATGAACTAAAAAATTAAGAAAGAGCAAACATAAATGTGGTTTAATAATTTTAACTTCCGCCGCAGTGCCGCGCTGACCACACTGTGTTTGGCGCAATGCGTGAAGTATTCATGTAGTCTTGTAGGCACTGTGCGTTTCTCGCCGCGCCGACCACTGTTGACCGTACTGTGTTTGACGCAATGCGTGAAGTATTCATGCAGTCTCGTAGGCGCTACTATGTGTTACATGCCGATACCGCCGCGTTGAGGGCTTCTCCTCTTCATCTCAAGTTCTCGTCATAATTTCTCTTTGCGCTGCGCCGCTCCAGGCCAAATTACGTGTTTGATTTCTCTCTTAACTCAACTAATTAAAGGTCCGCAGTCTTTTGTATCACCGAAATACGACAAAAGTCGAAATAAATGAACTCTCAGAAAATGAGAGATTTTGTCACCTTTTTTTGTTTGTAATTTTTTTCTGAATCCGATTTTTTTGTACCCCCCTCCCCCAAAAAAATCGGAGTAAACCAAAGTATACATCGTTTTTCCTTAATTTTGGCAAAGGTTGTGAACCAAATCTCATGAAAATTTGTATTTTCCCGTACTTTTATACTTTGACTTCACAGTTGATCTAAAAAAAAATTGATATCACCATTTGAATCAGTGAGAACGAGAACACATCCACTCGGTGACTCAAAAATGCTCAATTTTCATTGAAGACAATCAATTTTCATTTAGGTCATTGACATTAGCGCATCTGTTCCAACCTGGACCATTCAACTGTCCTTCAGTGCTTGTCTTTCAGTACCAAAAATATTTTTCTCAGACTAACTTTTTCACCTCTCTGCAGTTTTATGTATTCCTTGATCATTTTCACTTTTTCGCGTCGGTGTGCTTTCCTTCTCACTGATTCATTTAAACAAGGGGTTTTGGGGGTATTTCGGCTCCTGCCGTCTGACCGTTTAACCCTGGATCACCCTCACTGGGAAAAAAAACACATTGGATCTAGAGTCCAGACTCCTAAAAACATCGACAAGAAAAAGTACTCTTGATTCAATCAGAGTCTAGCTTAAATCAAGAACCAAGCCTCTTAATTTAAGCGGATTTCGTTTTGATTCGAGCAAAAATCCGATTGAAGCAAGAGTATTTTTTCTTGTCAATGTCTTCAAGAGTCTGGACTCTAGATCCAATGTATTTTTTTTCCAGTGCTGTATATCGAAAAGTGCGTCACGTGACTCACGTGACGCATTGTGACGCCCCAATAT